ATTTAACTTGCCTAAATGATATTAGCTGGATGGGCACACTAGCTGGCTGCATTAGCTCGAGTTTAACCTTGCCTAAATGATATTTAGCCACATTAAAATTTTTTCTTGACAGATCATTGTGTCCATTATTATGACCTCCGAAACACAACCAAGCCAATCACAGTTTTCAAAGGCCACAGGAAAGCTGTGTCATACACAAAATTCATCAACACAGAGGAAATTGTTTCTGCGTAAGTGTGTTTTAACAGTTGTTAATTAGGATCAAAGCTGTATGTACGCTTAAAGTTGCTGACGCCATACCCAATGTTGGGGGAGTAATGTTAACAAAACAACAACTGATGAAAGGTGTTCAAACATTTGAGGGGATTTTCTGGTCACTACTATCCGTGGCTGTTGGTGGAGATAACTAGAGGGGAAAGAGGCATCGTTTTTTCTTTGCTTTAGGGTGGTTCACCCGCTTGTTCACTTGGTTCACTTGCTGGCTCCCTTAGTTCACCCGCTGGGTCACTTGATTTACTTGCTGGTTCACTTGGTTCAAATACTGTTTCACTTGGTTCGTATGTTGGTTAAATACTTGATTCACATGCTGGTTCACTTCATTGGTTCGCAATTTTCAGATTTTGGCGAAGATTCCATTAAACCGCATTGTTGCGACAATAACAAGCAGCAGAGATAACTAAAGAAAAATATGCATTTCCGTTTACTAGACTGTGCTCTAGTGAATATTCGCTGGCACTTCTCTTAAATGGACACTACATGTTTTAATTGACGGAAGCCTAAATATAATGTTACAGTTATAACTTAAGAATTGTTTAAATGAAAAATGCAGGAAATTCGCCGTAATATTAGCTTTCATTTGAATGCTTGCACGCTAGCACTACCGACTTGCTCATTCTCTTTGTTTCTGTCTTAGCTGGTTATTTTGTTCTGTCGTAGATCAACAGACAGTCAGTTAAAACTTTGGAACATCAGTAAACCACACTGTCTTCGAACGTTCAAAGGGCATATTAACGAAAAGAACTTTGTTGGGCTGGCTTCCAATGGAGATTACGTTGCCTGTGGTGAGTTGACTTTTCTTCCTTCTGTCCGGCTTTTGTTATCTTTTTTTTGTCGACAATCATCAATAGCAAAATTATAACTATAACTGACCTGCTCTGAGTGCGTTTTGTTGCGCGTGACAACGGTTCCTAGTAATTTTGGTCCGCTGTGATTATAAGTAGTTGGAATTTTTGTATCATGAAAATTGTAGGAATTGGTTATTTAGCCATCTTTATAGCGTTACCTGACATCCCAAAAAACGGCTACTAGAGTCTATCTTTGAAGAGGACAGTTTTTGTTTTGCTATTATCGTCAACTTTACTGAGTCACTCCTTTATTTTTTCTTTTTGCAGGTAGTGAAAACAATTCTCTCTACTTGTACTACAAAGGTCTTTCTAAACAGCTCCTAACTTTCAAGTTTGATACTGTAAGAAGTGTTTTGGTGAGTAGAAGGTTTTAGACAACGAGCTCAGGCGAGAAGTTCCTGTGACCTTATTATTTTTTTATCAAGTTTTACTTGGGCTGCTTTTATGCAGTTACCTGCACTCCGACGAGAATGCCAACCCCTTACTCATCATCGTGTCGGTTGAGTTTGTTCCATTGGAAGTTGCAAACGTAATTATAACGCACTATCACTTCACAGTGGAAACAACTTTGCTGCTAGGTTATACTTTTACTTACTTTGCGTATACTTATACTTTGATCAACTGAGCTCTTTTTTTCTTTTGTTCTTTGTCGATGTTGTAGGAGAAAGACAAGAAAGAAGACGACGCGAACGAATTTGTGAGTGCGGTTTGTTGGAGAACTGTAAGTATATGCTACTTGTCGTTTCTTTAGATCATGATGAAATGCTACAAATCGAGTAAGGTAAAGTTACAGTTCGACTACTCGAATTGGGCCACTTGGAAAAGAGAGAAAACCAATCAGAACGTTACTTGAGAACAAAGGATAACGATCTTCTTCTCAAACCTGAAAACCAATAACATTGAAGATTACGAACAATAGATCTTAACAAAGTGCGAAGTGTTGCGAACCTCTCAGAAACTTTGCCATTTGTTGATTGGTTAGTTTCGATCCTAAATTTTGTACGCTTTTCAATGATTTCGGTTTAGTTGTCGCAAAATGAGTTTTCAAGTTAGACCTTGTGAGCGAGATTTATGATTATGATATTTCGCCGTCCGGCAAAGACTGAATCTTTAAGGGTGTATATTACACAGAGGAGTCGATAGTGTTTATGTTTTCACGTCAAACAGACCGTTACTTGCCGTCACGAGAAGCTACCGGTCCGTTGTTCCCAGCCGGTTTACGGTTTGATTGGTTAGGTTTCTTCTAGGTGGCCTGGTTCGAGGAGTCGCACTGTAATTAAAAGGGAGACGTAACAAAACGGTGTAAATTTGCCTTTTCAATGAACAAGTGTAGAAACAGAGAATTGGCTGTAAATATCCTGGGCCGTATTGAAAAAAGCTTTCTACAGGATAACCTTCCTTTCATCTTCTGTTCTGTTTAAACAGGGATCCAATGTAGTTGTGGCCGCTAACAGTCAAGGGACAATAAAGGTAATGGTATCAGTCTTCATATTTGTGCATCAACTGTATTTGTAAAGATTGTTATGAAACGTGAGCTCTGACTCCTTCCCTAACTGTTATCTTTGTTGCTGTTTTTGCAGGTTCTCGAGCTGGTGTAGAACCACTGATGAGTGGACATAGAATAAGCAAATATAATGTACTCTGTATATAAAGCTGAGTCAGAAGCCCAATAGTTGGCAGAGTTTTATAGTTGAGCTTATCATAGTTATATCGTAGACTTGAAACATTTGCTAGTTGAATTCAGAGGGACAATTTCTTTTGTTAGATTAGTTAGTCGTTGTATAAGGTGATCTATAACTGCTGGCAGTACCTAGACGAGTTTGTAAGCGAGCAAATAGCTCAGTGCTCATGTTGACGTGACATTTACCTTTGTACTCTTGCCAGTGCCAAATCTATGCACATTACAAAAGAAATCCTTTTATTATTTTGCAAATATTGAAAGTACAGCTCGGTACTGCTAATTTGGGACCATCTGAATGGGTAAGGTTTCAACCATAGCCTTAAAAGTTACTTTCCAGTGCTGCTCAATACTTTTTGTTTGTAATTGAACGGTCAGTCAGTATAATTTTTTGAACCACAGTCTTGAAAGCTGAAAGGACTCGTCAATAGCTAACATCGAGTGGCCACACACTTCAAGGTTCTATTCATCGATCACATTCTCCGGAAGTCGCTGCTCACAAACGATCATTTTCAATGGTCACACTTTAGGGTAACGATTAGAGCCGCAACAAACAAAAAAGATACGGCTTCTTTGGGAAGGTAAAGGATTGAGTCAAGATCGTCCCTGACGAAGAGTTTGGGAATACATCAAAACAATGTGTATTGAATATTTTCTTTATTCTCACCCTGCTTGAAAGCGTAGTGATACTGTAAGCAGAATTCACATGTTAATCGCTCTTGAGGGGAATAATAGAGACTTAAGATGCGTTCCTTTGAGGTGATCTGGACCTGGATCAGTGATCCATGATCACTCAGATCATGTTACATCAAAGCAACCAATGAACGCACGCTGGTCACGGATTCATCGGTGCCTTTGATACACCATGATCTGTCTGAGTGATCGTGGATCACCGATCCTAATCCGGATCATCCCAAAGGAACGCATCCTTGGTTCATTACGTTCATCCTATATGTAGATCTTCTACTTACGACTTTAGCCTCTTCCAGGCGTTCAGTTAGTGGAACAGGCTATTACGGCTTTTGCTGAATGTTCAGTTCGTCAAGTTAAATGAACGCAGAATCGGTTGCAGAAAAGTTCTCATGAACACCACTGCCAACATTTATGAAGGCTTTTTAGCTTCTACTGATAAAAATGAATAAAACATCAATGAACCGGTTCCGTTTGTTGAACATTTTTTGCGTAGAGTGAGTGACTAAAATTAATTTGACTGTTACGATAGTTGAAATGCTAGGACAACAGGAATTGCGATGGTAGAAATGCTATTGTGATGTGTTCTTCCAGGGGTGAATTGTTAATTACTACACCACTGATCATCAGATATGGCCGTGAATATATTAACCCTTCTTCACGCCATCCATGCACGTGGATTATTAGATCCAAAGGAACAAGATTTTAACAAAACAAACCCATCAATTATGTCAGCTTTCGACGCAAGTGGTGTTAGGAGCTTTCATTATCAAAACGGGACGACAGGAGATTATTTGAAAGTTATCCATAATTAACGAAACTGGCGCGATTAATCCGGACAGTCTTGCAAACGATACTGCCACCCGTAAGCACGTTTTCTTTGGGTCCCATCCCCCGGATGCTCGGGTCGCAAACGTTTCATTGCCATGCCTAGGGACTGGGAACAAATAGCTTTTTCAGCTCTCCTAAAACCTTCCATAAACACCAAGTATGCTGGCTACTGTGTTAAACACTTGCATCAGTTTACAGAAGGGTAGGTATTTTATTTGAATAATCATTTTCACTTTGAAATGAGTCATCATTGGCACAACTTTCCCTTATGAAGGTACTATCCAAGCTAGCCGGAGTACGTATCGGGCTTTTCTGGGGACAAGGCCAGATACTTGAGTCATCTCCCAGCCTATGGGGAACAGACAATGAAGGGGAATGGAGAGTGAGGCTCTCCCCTCACGTTCTAATTCGACTCCCCCTCTCCCTTGGTAACACCTAAGGATAAAAGGTCGATCCGAGTTGGCTTCCAACGAAACGTTCTTTGACGCGAAGTGTTGTCACAAGCGAAGACCGAGTAGTAAAAGACATGTTATCACCCTATGACGACTTCATACGGTGATGATAATTAAGATCCAAAACGAGTCACGTAAACTTTATTCCTTGAACTCGCCCTAGTCCTCCTCCGTGTCGCTATAATTATTCGAATCCTTGTAAAAAGTCCTAGCACTTCTGGTCAGATTGGATCACTGATTACATGTAAACACCTGTCCTATCACTGGTACTCCTGAATTGAGAGATGTGGGCATGAAGTTAAATTCAGCTAGATGACTGCCAATTGTTGTATTTCCTTGCTTTCGGGAAGTGAACGTCTTCCAGAAACTATGCAAGACTAGTGTTAGTGAGATCAGTTTGCTGGTGAACAGTTCTTGTTTCCATGGTCAGTGGTTAAAATAAATTTTGACTTTCATTTGTGCTCTTCCCAAAGCTCTACCCTGGAGATTTGTACAAATTAGCTAGCCCCACCGTGGAGCATTTCCAAGATTTTTTTAAAAAAGAATGACAAATGCCTGACATAAAGACCGAGTTGGAGCCATTCTCCTCCTGCTCTAAAAAGGCAACACTTAGTTACACTTGCATCTCCCGTGCAAATCAGCCTACAATTGCGCGTTTTTAAATTTAGTAATACGCCAACAAGGCAGTCTCCTACTTACAAGTTATTAGGCTGTCACGAAAGCTTCTCCCCCAGAAAAGCATTGCGTAACGGACAAAGTATGAATACTACAAGATACTGCAAGAAATGACTGCTGAAGTGTTCTTAAATTCTCTTTTTCTTCCCGAACATAAAGGGTGGGATAGCCCATACAACAATCACACTAAACAGACAAAAGAAGTATCAATTAGTATTTTTAATGAAAAAATTCTCTAGCTCTCTTGCAATCCAAATAGAGAGACGGGAAGATAAATAACAGAAATGCTTTTTAGTTTGATGTTCATCAAGAACTCAAGATTGAGAGTATTACAATAGGCTGAAAATGTGAAAAAAATCCAGTGACAGATCTACCGGCGCGCTGTACATATACTATATTATACTTGTCACTTTTGCCATGTTTCACGTCCACTCATAAAACAATGACTTTCCCTCGACTAAGCAATTTAACAAGATAGCAACCAAGTAATGTTCACCAATTCATCAAAGTGCTTCTTAGATTTCTAAAAAAGTGTGCTTTGATCTTGACAGGGCACAAATTGTCCAGGAATGCTAATTTACAATATTGAGCCTTAAAGCTCATCCTTGTCATGTTCTTCGTCTGGTGTTTCCTCCCCAGGTGGAGGGCTACCTCCCTCCTGACCACCCGGTCCTCCTTGTCCTTGGTACAACTTACTAACAATAGGTTGAACAACATCTTCCAATTCCTTCTTCTGTTTCTTGAAGTCATCTACATCAGCATCTTGGTTCTTGTCAAGCCATGAAATCTTTTCTTCAACAGCTTTGCTTATTGTTTCTTTTTCATCTTCAGACAGTTTTCCACCAAGCTTTTCTTTGTCGCCGATCTGGTTCTTCAATGAATATGCATAGCTTTCAAGTTCATTTCTTGCTTCCACTTTCTCCTTGACTTTCTTGTCGTCATCTGCAAACTTCTCAGCATCATTGACCATTTTCTCAATATCTTCAGGTGAAAGCCTGTTCTGGTCATTGGTGATGGTGATCTTCTCCTTATTTCCAGTCCCCTTGTCCTCTGCGGACACTCTTAAGATACCATTGACGTCAATTTCAAAGGTGACCTCAATTTGCGGCACACCACGTGGAGCAGGTGGGATTCCAGTGAGATCAAATTTGCCAAGAAGATGGTTGTTTTTGGTCATTGGTCTTTCCCCCTCAAATACCTGAATGGTAACAGTGTTCTGGTTGTCAGCAGCTGTGGAGAATACCTGGGCTTTCTTTGTTGGAATGACAGAGTTTCTAGAGATAAGTTTGGTCATGACTCCACCCACTGTCTCAATACCCAAGGTAAGTGGATTAACATCAAGGAGCACCACCTCTCCAGTATCTTCCTCACCACCCAACACTCCAGCCTGAACTGCTGCTCCATAGGCTACAGCCTCGTCAGGGTTGATGCCTCGGCTTGGTTCCTTGCCATCAAAGAAATCCTTGACAAGCTGCTGGACCTTAGGGATACGAGTTGAGCCTCCAACAAGAACAATTTCATGAATTTCCTTTTTCTTCAGACCAGCATCTTCAAGAACTTTTTTAACTGGCACCAATGTGGATTTGAAGGCCTCCTGCAAAAGGGTTGCAACAATGTTAGGTGGTAAGTAACAGGCACTGAAGTCACCTTGAGTGAACTGGCAATGCAGCAAGATCATACTCTCATTGGCTTGCAGCATTCAAAAGTAGTGGGGAAAAACAAGTTTACAACTTGCATTTCTCCAAACTTTTGACAAATGGTTTCCAGAGTTCAATTGAAATTCCTGATGATACAAACTTGGCAAGTTCATTACATAGTTGTTAATCAAAACTTGAACTTCAGAATGAAGTTGTAAATTTTACTGTGAAATTCACCGTCAGTTTCACTGTAAAAGTTGTTGTGAATTTGCAGTCAATAGGAATAAATAAATCTTTGACAAGGAAAAGTGGATGGAGAGACAGACAACCTATTGACTGTTACCTTGAACTCTTAATGTGTCAAAATTTGCTAATTTGCAACAAAGTTTGCAGGGAAATTTACAAGTTGGTTGTGAAGTTCAAATGTAATGAAGTGCCAAGTTCATCGTGAACTTCGAGAGTTTCAAACAAACTTTGGAAACAGTTTGTCAAAAGATTTGCATTGTAAAGATACAAGCCACCGACTGATTCTGTGAAGTGCACTAAAGATCTTTTCACATCTTGGAAATGAGAAAATGCTCCACAATTGCCACACAATAGCTCTATCCATTACCACCTTTTTAGAGAAAAGAATCTTTTGTAAACATATGATTTATCTAAATACATGCATCCATTAAGAAAAATATACCTACCATGTTTTCGTTTTCAAAGCGAGCCCGTGTCAAAGTCTCAGAGAAGTCCTCTCCATCAAAGAAAGATTCAATTTCAATTCGAGCCTGATGTTGAGTACTAAGGGCACGTTTGGCCTTCTCAACTTCACGACGGAGCTTCTGAACAGCTCTGTTGTCCTTGCGAATGTCCTTGCCCTTCTTCTTCTTGTACATCTTGATGAAATAGTCCATGATTTTCTGATCAAAATCTTCACCACCTAACAATGAAATCAACAAAAAATGCCGATTGTTTAGCTCCAGGATAGTAAAAATAATAAAATTATTAAAAATATCACGGTTTGCATGCCTACAAAAGAAAATTAGACTTGAGATAGAGGGAATGTTAATGTTGTTGCAGCCTATCAGCTAAATAAATGTTGCGACCCTTGGACATGTAGTTTGTTTGTGAGAGAGTCTTCATTCTACAGTGTGTACTTCTGTCTGGCAGCAACACAGAATTAGTGCATACCAGAAATATTTGTAGTATTCAGTTTGTGAAAAAGAGAACAGCATACATTCTCTAACTCACCGAGATGAGTGTCTCCATTAGTTGCTACCACTTCAAAGACTCCATTGTCAATAGTCAGCAGAGACACATCAAAAGTTCCACCTCCAAGATCAAACACAAGGATGTTCTTCTCTCCCTCTTTCTTGTCCAGACCATAAGCAATAGCAGCAGCTGTGGGCTCATTGATGATTCTCATCACATTAAGACCTGCAATGGTTCCAGCATCTTTTGTGGCCTGACGCTGAGCATCGTTGAAGTATGCAGGCACAGTAACAACAGCATGGGTAACTTTCTTCGCTAGATAAGCTTCAGCAATTTCCTGAAATGATAACACAAGGTAAAAATACAATCATTGCCGGACCAATCACAAAATTATAACCAGCTTCTGAAAATAGGTCTAATTTCTGGTATGCAGTGACTCATTTGCCTATCTAGACTTTCCAAGTGTTCTGCACTTTCACCATAAGTGGACTCCATGTTTCAACTTCATGGTCCAGCAGGCTAACGCATATTTCCAGAGTCCATACCCCCAACCCAATAAGAGTTGGGTGCATTGCCCAAGGCCCCAGTGCCTGGGCTCAAAACCACAGCACTCAATTACAGGTACAGTACCAAAGCATACCCACCATACAAAAAAAAATTAAAAATGAAAAACTCTGAAAAACTACATGTAATGGAACATTAAATTTCTTTGGTTTCGTAAGAATAGAAAACACTTCAATTCCCTTGACTCACCCAACACATTTAACCTTTGATGAGCGTAATTAAATAATAAGTCCATGTTTACAGAAACATTACTCACAACCTGTCATGTCATTTTTTAAAGCCCAAGCAACAGCCACAGCACCGGCAAGTCAAGCAGTCAACTTAACAAAACACAATTGAAACGCCTCCAGTACACAGAAACTTCTACATAATTTATTTTTATAAAAGGGCTACAATCAATTTGATTTCTTTGTACCAAATGGTCATCTTACCTTCATTTTACTGAGAACCATAGCACTGATTTCTTCAGCTGCAAAAGTTTTCTTCGCTCCTTTAACGTCTACTCGAACATGGGGCTTCTTGTTCTTCTCGATCACTTGGAATGGGAAGTACTTCAAGTCGCTCTGGACTGATTTATCGTCCCATGTTCTCCCGATCAAACGCTTGGCGTCAAAAATAGTGTTCTCTGGATTTGTTGTCAGCTGATTTTTCGCTCCATCGCCGATCAGTCGTTCGCCTTCAGGAGTGAAAGCCACGTACGATGGAGTAATTCGGTTTCCCTGTTCGTTTGCGATGATTTCAACGCGACCGTTCTTAAATACACCAACGCTGTAAAAAATAAAAATATATATAAGCTTATAAATTGTATTGATCTAGCTCTCCGTTTTAATCACATCGAATTAAGACGAACTTCTCAAACAGTGCGAAGAAACCACTTTTACAACATGTAAAATATCCACCCTAGGGGTTGTTGTTCCCTAAACTGATCTCAAAAGAAACGATAAAACGACTGGAGCTGAAGTAAACGGTTTCATCAACCGAAGAATTTCCATTAGGGTAGCAAACTGCATTTCGATTACTCACCAAGAATACGTTGTTCCAAGATCGATGCCGATTACAGTTCCTACGTCCTTTTTGTCCTTTTCGTCCTTTTTCTTGTCTTCACCACTGACTAGAAGTAAACTACTGGCTAAAGCCACCGCACAAAATGTGCAAATTGTTCTCATTTTGAAATCAAGTTGTATTTTTTCCAAAAAGAACCTGTGACACTTTCCACTTGGGAGAAAAACTTCACAAAATTTATGACAAGGACGTACACGAGCCGGTTGATATTTCGCTCGCCACCACGCGTGGCCCTCGCTGATTGGTCGAGCTGCTTCCCGGTGGCCTATTCTGATTGGTCCACGCCACAAAGTTTCGTCATTCTCCTCGGCTGAATTCGGATGTCGTGTCACCGTAAGAACTCGCCAGCGTTTCGCAACAAAGTCACTTCCGGTTTCTAAAAGCTGGGGTTAAAATAAAACAAATATGACATATTTAACGACTGATGTTGGCTGTTTTCGATATTAGCAAAATTAAAGTAATTTGCGTCCATTATAACTGTATTCAGAACACAATGGCAAGTTTCTTGCCTGGATAATTGTTATTGGTCAAATCGGGGTCGAATCACGTTTTCCCGAAAATACTTCGTCTATCTTCGGTAAGAGTCGGATTGTTCGTGCAAGACAACCACGAGGTTTACGATCCATTCGGACAAACCATGCGATGTGCAATCTTGAGAGGACGATCGTCTGCCTTTTTACCGGGTATGTTACACACTGCAGCTTAAATCATCAAGCGAGATGACTTCAAGACCTTGGCATTACCACTAATGGGAAAGCGTGTAAGCCACCAAATGTTGAAAGGCTTGAAAAGTTACGCCTTTTTCCTATGCCTACCGGCACCGTTTCTAAATGGCGCTCACCCTAGAAGGTAAACTTGACCGTATCAAGCGTAAGAATCGTTTCTTATCGGGGTTATTACCCTTGTGGTTTTCTCATGTTCATACAGATACGCCAAGTGTATTTAGGTCAGTGTTTAACATCCTATTTGAATTAAACTTCGGCGCAAAATCTCCATCGTACACAAGCTCTAGCTTGGTCACGAGCACGTGGCGCATGAATGCCTGTATGTGTTCTTCGTTCTTCACAACTTCATTTCAAACGCATAAATNATGACGACTTCATACGGTGATGATAATTAAGATCCAAAACGAGTCACGTAAACTTTATTCCTTGAACTCGCCCTAGTCCTCCTCCGTGTCGCTATAATTATTCGAATCCTTGTAAAAAGTCCTAGCACTTCTGGTCAGATTGGATCACTGATTACATGTAAACACCTGTCCTATCACTGGTACTCCTGAATTGAGAGATGTGGGCATGAAGTTAAATTCAGCTAGATGACTGCCAATTGTTGTATTTCCTTGCTTTCGGGAAGTGAACGTCTTCCAGAAACTATGCAAGACTAGTGTTAGTGAGATCAGTTTGCTGGTGAACAGTTCTTGTTTCCATGGTCAGTGGTTAAAATAAATTTTGACTTTCATTTGTGCTCTTCCCAAAGCTCTACCCTGGAGATTTGTACAAATTAGCTAGCCCCACCGTGGAGCATTTCCAAGATTTTTTTAAAAAAGAATGACAAATGCCTGACATAAAGACCGAGTTGGAGCCATTCTCCTCCTGCTCTAAAAAGGCAACACTTAGTTACACTTGCATCTCCCGTGCAAATCAGCCTACAATTGCGCGTTTTTAAATTTAGTAATACGCCAACAAGGCAGTCTCCTACTTACAAGTTATTAGGCTGTCACGAAAGCTTCTCCCCCAGAAAAGCATTGCGTAACGGACAAAGTATGAATACTACAAGATACTGCAAGAAATGACTGCTGAAGTGTTCTTAAATTCTCTTTTTCTTCCCGAACATAAAGGGTGGGATAGCCCATACAACAATCACACTAAACAGACAAAAGAAGTATCAATTAGTATTTTTAATGAAAAAATTCTCTAGCTCTCTTGCAATCCAAATAGAGAGACGGGAAGATAAATAACAGAAATGCTTTTTAGTTTGATGTTCATCAAGAACTCAAGATTGAGAGTATTACAATAGGCTGAAAATGTGAAAAAAATCCAGTGACAGATCTACCGGCGCGCTGTACATATACTATATTATACTTGTCACTTTTGCCATGTTTCACGTCCACTCATAAAACAATGACTTTCCCTCGACTAAGCAATTTAACAAGATAGCAACCAAGTAATGTTCACCAATTCATCAAAGTGCTTCTTAGATTTCTAAAAAAGTGTGCTTTGATCTTGACAGGGCACAAATTGTCCAGGAATGCTAATTTACAATATTGAGCCTTAAAGCTCATCCTTGTCATGTTCTTCGTCTGGTGTTTCCTCCCCAGGTGGAGGGCTACCTCCCTCCTGACCACCCGGTCCTCCTTGTCCTTGGTACAACTTACTAACAATAGGTTGAACAACATCTTCCAATTCCTTCTTCTGTTTCTTGAAGTCATCTACATCAGCATCTTGGTTCTTGTCAAGCCATGAAATCTTTTCTTCAACAGCTTTGCTTATTGTTTCTTTTTCATCTTCAGACAGTTTTCCACCAAGCTTTTCTTTGTCGCCGATCTGGTTCTTCAATGAATATGCATAGCTTTCAAGTTCATTTCTTGCTTCCACTTTCTCCTTGACTTTCTTGTCGTCATCTGCAAACTTCTCAGCATCATTGACCATTTTCTCAATATCTTCAGGTGAAAGCCTGTTCTGGTCATTGGTGATGGTGATCTTCTCCTTATTTCCAGTCCCCTTGTCCTCTGCGGACACTCTTAAGATACCATTGACGTCAATTTCAAAGGTGACCTCAATTTGCGGCACACCACGTGGAGCAGGTGGGATTCCAGTGAGATCAAATTTGCCAAGAAGATGGTTGTTTTTGGTCATTGGTCTTTCCCCCTCAAATACCTGAATGGTAACAGTGTTCTGGTTGTCAGCAGCTGTGGAGAATACCTGGGCTTTCTTTGTTGGAATGACAGAGTTTCTAGAGATAAGTTTGGTCATGACTCCACCCACTGTCTCAATACCCAAGGTAAGTGGATTAACATCAAGGAGCACCACCTCTCCAGTATCTTCCTCACCACCCAACACTCCAGCCTGAACTGCTGCTCCATAGGCTACAGCCTCGTCAGGGTTGATGCCTCGGCTTGGTTCCTTGCCATCAAAGAAATCCTTGACAAGCTGCTGGACCTTAGGGATACGAGTTGAGCCTCCAACAAGAACAATTTCATGAATTTCCTTTTTCTTCAGACCAGCATCTTCAAGAACTTTTTTAACTGGCACCAATGTGGATTTGAAGGCCTCCTGCAAAAGGGTTGCAACAATGTTAGGTGGTAAGTAACAGGCACTGAAGTCACCTTGAGTGAACTGGCAATGCAGCAAGATCATACTCTCATTGGCTTGCAGCATTCAAAAGTAGTGGGGAAAAACAAGTTTACAACTTGCATTTCTCCAAACTTTTGACAAATGGTTTCCAGAGTTCAATTGAAATTCCTGATGATACAAACTTGGCAAGTTCATTACATAGTTGTTAATCAAAACTTGAACTTCAGAATGAAGTTGTAAATTTTACTGTGAAATTCACCGTCAGTTTCACTGTAAAAGTTGTTGTGAATTTGCAGTCAATAGGAATAAATAAATCTTTGACAAGGAAAAGTGGATGGAGAGACAGACAACCTATTGACTGTTACCTTGAACTCTTAATGTGTCAAAATTTGCTAATTTGCAACAAAGTTTGCAGGGAAATTTACAAGTTGGTTGTGAAGTTCAAATGTAATGAAGTGCCAAGTTCATCGTGAACTTCGAGAGTTTCAAACAAACTTTGGAAACAGTTTGTCAAAAGATTTGCATTGTAAAGATACAAGCCACCGACTGATTCTGTGAAGTGCACTAAAGATCTTTTCACATCTTGGAAATGAGAAAATGCTCCACAATTGCCACACAATAGCTCTATCCATTACCACCTTTTTAGAGAAAAGAATCTTTTGTAAACATATGATTTATCTAAATACATGCATCCATTAAGAAAAATATACCTACCATGTTTTCGTTTTCAAAGCGAGCCCGTGTCAAAGTCTCAGAGAAGTCCTCTCCATCAAAGAAAGATTCAATTTCAATTCGAGCCTGATGTTGAGTACTAAGGGCACGTTTGGCCTTCTCAACTTCACGACGGAGCTTCTGAACAGCTCTGTTGTCCTTGCGAATGTCCTTGCCCTTCTTCTTCTTGTACATCTTGATGAAATAGTCCATGATTTTCTGATCAAAATCTTCACCACCTAACAATGAAATCAACAAAAAATGCCGATTGTTTAGCTCCAGGATAGTAAAAATAATAAAATTATTAAAAATATCACGGTTTGCATGCCTACAAAAGAAAATTAGACTTGAGATAGAGGGAATGTTAATGTTGTTGCAGCCTATCAGCTAAATAAATGTTGCGACCCTTGGACATGTAGTTTGTTTGTGAGAGAGTCTTCATTCTACAGTGTGTACTTCTGTCTGGCAGCAACACAGAATTAGTGCATACCAGAAATATTTGTAGTATTCAGTTTGTGAAAAAGAGAACAGCATACATTCTCTAACTCACCGAGATGAGTGTCTCCATTAGTTGCTACCACTTCAAAGACTCCATTGTCAATAGTCAGCAGAGACACATCAAAAGTTCCACCTCCAAGATCAAACACAAGGATGTTCTTCTCTCCCTCTTTCTTGTCCAGACCATAAGCAATAGCAGCAGCTGTGGGCTCATTGATGATTCTCATCACATTAAGACCTGCAATGGTTCCAGCATCTTTTGTGGCCTGACGCTGAGCATCGTTGAAGTATGCAGGCACAGTAACAACAGCATGGGTAACTTTCTTCGCTAGATAAGCTTCAGCAATTTCCTGAAATGATAACACAAGGTAAAAATACAATCATTGCCGGACCAATCACAAAATTATAACCAGCTTCTGAAAATAGGTCTAATTTCTGGTATGCAGTGACTCATTTGCCTATCTAGACTTTCCAAGTGTTCTGCACTTTCACCATAAGTGGACTCCATGTTTCAACTTCATGGTCCAGCAGGCTAACGCATATTTCCAGAGTCCATACCCCCAACCCAATAAGAGTTGGGTGCATTGCCCAAGGCCCCAGTGCCTGGGCTCAAAACCACAGCACTCAATTACAGGTACAGTACCAAAGCATACCCACCATACAAAAAAAAATTAAAAATGAAAAACTCTGAAAAACTACATGTAATGGAACATTAAATTTCTTTGGTTTCGTAAGAATAGAAAACACTTCAATTCCCTTGACTCACCCAACACATTTAACCTTTGATGAGCGTAATTAAATAATAAGTCCATGTTTACAGAAACATTACTCACAACCTGTCATGTCATTTTTTAAAGCCCAAGCAACAGCCACAGCACCGGCAAGTCAAGCAGTCAACTTAACAAAACACAATTGAAACGCCTCCAGTACACAGAAACTTCTACATAATTTATTTTTATAAAAGGGCTACAATCAATTTGATTTCTTTGTACCAAATGGTCATCTTACCTTCATTTTACTGAGAACCATAGCACTGATTTCTTCAGCTGCAAAAGTTTTCTTCGCTCCTTTAACGTCTACTCGAACATGGGGCTTCTTGTTCTTCTCGATCACTTGGAATGGGAAGTACTTCAAGTCGCTCTGGACTGATTTATCGTCCCATGTTCTCCCGATCAAACGCTTGGCGTCAAAAATAGTGTTCTCTGGATTTGTTGTCAGCTGATTTTTCGCTCCATCGCCGATCAGTCGTTCGCCTTCAGGAGTGAAAGCCACGTACGATGGAGTAATTCGGTTTCCCTGTTCGTTTGCGATGATTTCAACGCGACCGTTCTTAAATACACCAACGCTGTAAAAAATAAAAATATATATAAGCTTATAAATTGTATTGATCTAGCTCTCCGTTTTAATCACATCGAATTAAGACGAACTTCTCAAACAGTGCGAAGAAACCACTTTTACAACATGTAAAATATCCACCCTAGGGGTTGTTGTTCCCTAAACTGATCTCAAAAGAAACGATAAAACGACTGGAGCTGAAGTAAACGGTTTCATCAACCGAAGAATTTCCATTAGGGTAGCAAACTGCATTTCGATTACTCACCAAGAATACGTTGTTCCAAGATCGATGCCGATTACAGTTCCTACGTCCTTTTTGTCCTTTTCGTCCTTTTTCTTGTCTTCACCACTGACTAGAAGTAAACTACTGGCTAAAGCCACCGCACAAAATGTGCAAATTGTTCTCATTTTGAAATCAAGTTGTATTTTTTCCAAAAAGAACCTGTGACACTTTCCACTTGGGAGAAAAACTTCACAAAATTTATGACAAGGACGTACACGAGCCGGTTGATATTTCGCTCGCCACCACGCGTGGCCCTCGCTGATTGGTCGAGCTGCTTCCCGGTGGCCTATTCTGATTGGTCCACGCCACAAAGTTTCGTCATTCTCCTCGGCTGAATTCGGATGTCGTGTCACCGTAAGAACTCGCCAGCGTTTCGCAACAAAGTCACTTCCGGTTTCTAAAAGCTGGGGTTAAAATAAAACAAATATGACATATTTAACGACTGATGTTGGCTGTTTTCGATATTAGCAAAATTAAAGTAATTTGCGTCCATTATAACTGTATTCAGAACACAATGGCAAGTTTCTTGCCTGGATAATTGTTATTGGTCAAATCGGGGTCGAATCACGTTTTCCCGAAAATACTTCGTCTATCTTCGGTAAGAGTCGGATTGTTCGTGCAAGACAACCACGAGGTTTACGATCCATTCGGACAAACCATGCGATGTGCAATCTTGAGAGGACGATCGTCTGCCTTTTTACCGGGTATGTTACACACTGCAGCTTAAATCATCAAGCGAGATGACTTCAAGACCTTGGCATTACCACTAATGGGAAAGCGTGTAAGCCACCAAATGTTGAAAGGCTTGAAAAGTTACGCCTTTTTCCTATGCCTACCGGCACCGTTTCTAAATGGCGCTCACCCTAGAAGGTAAACTTGACCGTATCAAGCGTAAGAATCGTTTCTTATCGGGGTTATTACCCTTGTGGTTTTCTCATGTTCATACAGATACGCCAAGTGTATTTAGGTCAGTGTTTAACATCCTATTTGAATTAAACTTCGGCGCAAAATCTCCATCGTACACAAGCTCTAGCTTGGTCACGAGCACGTGGCGCATGAATGCCTGTATGTGTTCTTCGTTCTTCACAACTTCATTTCAAACGCATAAATATATAACGTTTGAAGCACGCTTAATAGTTCTTGATGCTATTTCCCGTTAGTTTAGAACAATTTCAAACAACTGTGCTGAAAATCTGGCAAACTCGAACCATTGCCAGGAAAATATCACGTGTTCTCAACGTTAAGCGCTATCTGCACTAGATTTAAAGGGGCAAGGTCACGCTGTGAGAATGTGAACCAGGCTCTTCCAATTTATATTTCTATTTTTCTCCATTGTATTTGAAAAGAAGCAAAGGGCATGTGTGCAAAAGACTAAGTCCTTGACAAACCATAGAAAAACCGTGGAATTATCAAATTGGTAAAACAGGTGCACCAAGTTAATGTAAAATAAATAACCTGGATGTGAGAAAAATCTTGGACACAGGACTGAACAGATTTTGTTGAACTTGATGGCAATGGCAGACAAATTGAAAAACAGTGGCCTGCCTTTTTCTAGATCTGTTGGTTCCCTGTGTGCACAAATGTATGACATGTACCTAGCTCCTCTGAAATGTCAACAGTCAATTGCTTTTTCCAGACCAGGGGATTGATGTTGTCTCGTATTCTAAGATTTAAAGGGTGGAATATTTTTTATCTTTATTTTTCCTCATGTTTGTCATTAGATTTACATCTTTGTTGAAGTAGCAATATCTGTAGCCCTTGTGGAGGGTTTGAATGTGCACTGATGATGAACAGTTTAAATGGGAATCTCTCTTAGTTCGTCAGTGAAGAGAATCAAAACTGTTTATAACTGAAGTTGCACAATATACTAGGTTGTTCTCTGAGTTTCATAGAAACCTGATTATCCCTCCTCACCTCGCATATGATCATCTAATATATGTTGGAGTCAACATCGCAAATTACTTTTTGTCTCACAGGTGAAGTGTTGACAATTTATACATGTAGGTAAGTTTGTATATGGATGAGTTGATATTTTATTCCCAATGTATTATAATCCTTGCTTAGTGCATTTGATGAAACTTCTTATTACACAGAGGGCTGTACATACAGCTTTGTGATGTGTGATCGATAGGCCTGATGCATGACACATGTACTGGATTTTGTTTAATTTGTAGTCAAATGTCAAGTTTAATGCTTGTGTTGTTTTTCCCCTTATTTGTATAAATAACAGCTGGAGATGAAACGTGTTGGCAGTTGTTGATGACTTCAGGTCAATCCGAATTAGAGAATCTGGTGAGGAAATATTCTCAAGCTTAATTTTTCTTTTGCGGGACATTATCAAAAGATTGCAATTTATTAACACTGTACATGGACTATATTATTATGCACTCTAGAGGCTCCCTCAAAGTCTCTATTTTTTGAAAAAAAAAAAAAAAATTCCCAAATTTGAATTGCTACCTTTCAAATCAATATCAAAAGGATGGAGGTGTCACAAAACACAAAACCATTTCTTGTATTCTTTGCCTTCCTTAACAAATAGACCCTCAATCGATTTTCATTTTCACTTTAAAAAGTGGCCACCTGACAAATTTATTAAGAGGAAAATCTAGATGAGTGCTTGGCAGATAAAAGGGATATTGGCATGAAATTGTTCCCTAGCTATAACAAGTTCATACTTATTTGTTGTACAACGTGCTAATTTGTGTTGCTTGTGCCGGTGATGATTTCCAATATTTGCTAGTTGATCATTGAGAAATGATGACAACTGTGACCACCAAGATCGCTGAGGCACTGCATGAAGTACAGTTTAATACTTGTTTAACTATTAGCAAGGCTGTTTATTACATTCAAAGCAAAGAGTTTTTCCCTAGCATTAACAATGAAGTGTAGGTGGTAAATGCAGAAAACTTACATACAGTCTGTATATAACTAATCCTATATTTCACAGGCTGAGCAAAGAGATGTGCTTCAGTAATAAAGAGTTGACAAGGTTTGTTGCCTGTAACACTTCCATTTTAGTGTCACACACATTTGAATGTAACAGTTGCCTTATCAGTAAGAACTCTCTTGACAAATCAATCAATGATATGATAAATTGCCCATTCAGTTATGCACTTCAATGAAAATGAATTTCCTTTAGTGATCAAGTGGGCTAACTTGTTTACTTCGAGCAGGGAACCCTCATGTAAGTCTAACACTGCTGAAGACTGACTGCTGATCTCACAATCAAACTGTTACTACCCTTTTCAAAAAAGGCATGCTTGGCAATCGTTGAACATCTACTCAACTAGCTTCTATTGTTGTAGTAATTAGCCAGACTGGTGTGTGATGACTGCATAGTTCAACTGAACTTTATTGTAGTGAAGTTGACATTAGCTCTATCTGACACCATGTATTAGCTTTACACTGTAGCCTAAAGACACTTGTGTTAACCATGGATTCCTGTATTCTAAATAAACCAGTAAGTCTCTAATACTTTTATTGTTGTTTCAGAAAGCTGTTAGCAAAAAGAGTTTCCATTACTCTATGCAGTCCCTACTCTTGTGACATGTAGTCAAGGTGGGGAAAATCTTTAGCTTACTTCTTTAGTTATTTAAACTTCTGAAAATAAGCTTAATCTAGTTGTTTATTTGTGTTCTTGGGCAAGATAATATGGAATTCTATGGTGCATCTCCATCCAGGGCTAGTGAACTTCAGCATTTAGTTACTGATGAATTGTTAGGCTTATTTTTAAAAGTCCATGAAATGTACATATTTCCTTTTGTTTCAGTGTGTGGTGTATGATGATTTCATAGTTCACCTGACTTTTGGTGACGATAAATTTCGCCCCTATCTGATACCACCCAACAGTCTGCTTTGGCAAACAAGCCAAATTTATTTTGTACATGTAGGTAACAAAGCTTTATGTTGATCTTTCAGATGCTTTTGCTGACTTTTCTGTTCTCCTCAGAGGTGAGGGTATTGGCAGAACATTTTGTTTAGAATAGAATCTGTTTGTAAATTACATTCAGGTGTGTCTTGATGCGTTAATTTTCTCTATGTTAATTTTCTGTCTTGCATTGGTAAAATGGAGGTGCTTGGTGCAAATGATGACCCCCAGAATAGGGACATAAGAAAGTCACTCAGTGACTTGGTTAGAAAACCTGGGTTGTTTGTCTGATGTGTCAAGTCACTTCTCACAACAAGTTGCAAGGGATTCAGTTGATCATCTTTGTTACAGAACTACTAATGATGCTTCTCAATTGAATTGTTTTTTTAAAAAAAACCAAGAATGGAGTTAAGAGGATTGAGAACTCTCCAACTGTGGTAAGTATTAATTAATAATTTCCAATGATTGAACCGTAAAATTCTGCTTAAAGAAGCCCTGGGCTTACACATCTTTATGAGGGTTTTTGTGCGGCATGTAAACAGTATCGTTTTGACATAAATGCAGCTGATGCACTAGATCCCAAATCCAAAAGTGCAAACCCCCCTTTTCTCTATTTCACTGTTCTTGTGGAGTGGAGGACATGTCTATTGCACCCCTTCCCCCTCAAAATGGCCACCCCTTGACAATACCAGTTAAGCCTGTCCCAAGCAGCAGCTGGGGAGGGAAGGTTGAGCTATGTGTGTTTGTGGTGCTCCAGTATTCTCTTTACAAGAATTGACCATAGAGTTTGTTAATGTATGGTGCAAGTGATGACTCCAGAATAGGGACATAAGAAAGTCATTTTGTGACTTGATTAGAAATCCTGGTTTTTGGTCTGAAGCACTGAAGCCATTTCTACATATGGTCAAGGAATTCAAGTTGGGCATTTTGGTGGCTTTTACTATTTTTGCATTTTTACAGCAACTACACATCAACACGGAAAGCAGCACTCATCCAGTCGCCCACTCACCCAGGCAAGTTTCAAGGGTGAGCATGAATTGTACATTTTGGGAGTATATGCAACTGTATTGTGTTTGTTGGCAAGTTTCTTGCTTTTGTTAAAACGTTTGTGGCCAATGATGTATTATATATTTGCTACTCTTGAACATTATTAATGATGATAAGTGTCACCACATTGTCTGAGGCCACACTATTGACACTAAGGTGTAAGCATCCTGTGTGAGGAATTTCACAGATATCCAGTCACAGTTGACTTGCAATAGCAGTGTGGTCAACTTGTGCAAATCTGATTGGATTCCAGTTAGATCAGAGAGAGAGCCAATGAGTTAACAGTGAAACAACAAGAGGAAACTCTTGCTGACTTGGTTGAATTGATTTTAACAAACTCCCATTAAGACAATACAGTCGTTTGTTATTTTTCCCAATATTGATGAGCCGTGTTATCTTGCAGGTGCAAATACATTTGCATGTAACCCTGTTTGTTTACCAACTGTTAATCAGGTAATTAACATCTTACATGTTATAAAATATTGTTCATCTAGTGGGAAACAAAATGTAGTGATGAGCCAACTTAGTAAAGGTGCAAGCTTTTGCATCTCACTAAAGAAAGACTATGTTTGAACACATTTCTAAACACCAAGAAGAGAGTTGAAAATATGATGCATAGGGGTGTATTTTTACTAAATTTGAGGTCTTTAGAAATGTGGTCTTGAAAACACATGGTTGGGTGTTTGATATATTTCCTTCATGAAAACTTTAAACTGAGAAAACGGAGAAATAAAATCGTAAAAATCTATGCTAATTAAGATCAGATATCCAAACACTGTCATGGTCATGATTTCCTTTGTTTAAACTCAATGAATTAAATGTATTGATGAGTTTGAGAATTATACTGAATCATAGATGTCACTTGACATGTTCACTGTACATCTGAAAGCCGATGATGATTTAACATATTCAGTCATAATCCACTGAGTAATTTGTGAAGACAAATTCAATCCTGAGGCTTTCACTTGACCATTTACCATTGCCACAACTTCAAGCACTGTACATGTATGGACCCATAATGACTTGTTATTGCTTTGTTTCCTCTCAGGTACATGAAGCGATCTAAAGCAACAACTTCACAAGTCAAACTTGAACGTGATGAATTGTAAAAATTGAAACTTGAAGGAGCTGAACAGTAATAAAAAATTATGCTCAATAGTTAAAAAGACTCTTGGAATTGTTGAATATCCATGATTTACCTGAAGTGAAAGGCAATAATAGCAACCCCTCTTATTTCTGGTTAAACTCATCAACAATAGTTAAGTATGGGGAAGCTGCCTGTAAGGAGGGTGGAGCCACGCCCTACGAGGTGAACATGCGTTGTAACCATGACATCCCTGTGAGCGGCACCCACCAGGCACCATCGCACTGATATCAGTGAAACTAAATCCTTCTCCCTGCATGCTACATGTAAGCCCTCCCTTTATGCAAAGCATTCAGAACTGAGAAGTAACGTATATGTGCAGCTGCAACATGAGCAAGATGGCTTTCCTAGTTGGTAATGTAACAAATGTATGAAGAGCAGTTTTTACCTTGGGTGTTATTTTTTATTGTCATTACAAATATTACTAACAATTAATGGTGCCAAGAAAACTTATGACCATTTAGAAGGCACAGAATAATAATGAGTCCTAACCTAGGAATAAACAAATTAAACATTTTAAAACAAGCAGAAGTCTGGAATAGCTAGTAATAATAGTGATAGATATGATATTGGAGTAAATATACAATTAAAAAAAAGAAATAAGTCTGGAATAGCTAGTAATAATAGTGATAGATATGATATGGGAGTAAAATTAATATAGAAGTAAAAACAAGAAATAATTTGAATAGCTTATAACAATAGTGATAAGATATGCAATGAATAATTTCATTTACGAATATTAAATGCAGCTAAAATGATGTGGGCCATCCTAACCGTTATAATTTATATTGTGTACCTGACATGTTCTCAAAAATACAGTATTAACTCTCACCAAAGCGAGAAAAGGATAGTGTATGTAAATGATGGTGCCCTTGCCCCAATTAGGCAATCTTGAGGGAAAACAATTGTGTTATGCTTGGAAAAACATCCTGGAAGTGAAATGTTTGAAAAGTTTTTTTGGAAATCTCTAGACGTATGCTCAGAATCCTTTCAGTGGTAAAATAGTTTGAAGGCTACAACTTCAAAACTAAGAACATTATGTTGCGATTTATAAGCTAAGAAAGCTGCAAGTATTCAGTATAACAAATGTCCATTAGACAAGTTCAAGAGTCTGACTAAAATAGTGCTTGTAGCATAATTCTACCTGTAACGCAATCACACGATCAAATAAACAACAACTATATACAATATCTTGAGTAACCTTTGTTTGCCGGAAATAGCTACAGCTGTAAGCCACATCGAGGGGGGGGCAACCGAAGGCGCACCTTGAAACGATGTGGCCCACGGGGTGGGTGGGTGGGTAAACAACTAAGCTAGAATGCTGTCTGAATAGAACTGATGAGCTATCACATGATCAAGCATTAATGTCCATGAGCTAGTTAATGATAAACCTACATGTACGTCATAAATTATACCGCTGTTGGTAAACTCCAATACCATACAATTTGTGTTAAAGAATTACAGTGGGATTTTATGTATTGACTGCAATAAAGAGCAATGAAGCTCTATTTTTGCAAAGACCATTGGGTTTGAACACCCTTTGCAACTGCTTTATTGCTGCCAGTCACTTTTTCAGTGATTGTTGATCGAAGGTTGAGGGCACGAGATAGGTTTCCTGCTGGCTGAAGTGTCACTTTTCTTTGCTTCATTCTGGGATTTTGTAACCAGGTGTCCTTTGACCAACTGCTTTTGTTGTGTCACGGTCAACTTTCTATCGAAAGATTTATTTCACCAACTTGAACTTCATTGCCTCTGGCTGCTGCCTACTGAGCCATATCACATTGGTTCTCACTGTGGTTGAATTGGTACAAAATATTTTGCCCATGGCCAATTGCAGATGAGATCTGCTACATCATGTCTGCCACAAATAGTAAGGGCTTTAACAAACTCCCTCATTGTGGGTTCCTTCTTATGATTTTTTAATTTTGCCAGCAGGCTTTCTGTAGGACTTCTCCCTGCCATATAATCAGTCTCTATCAAGTCCAAATCCTCAGAGCTGACTTGTAGAAGTTGTCCAACGCTGCGCCATGTTTTACGAGTGGGAGTTCTGAGGGCATCAAGCTTGTTTTGAATGATGAATAACATCAAGTTACCTTCATTGTCACACAGCTGTTCCATCTCAGAGATGCGACAACCTGGAAATTGTTTTGATGAGTTAATTAGCAAACTGGCTTTTTATGTATTTCTCAAACATTTCCTGTACCTTTGATTCCCCCACCTTTTCTTATCTAGATCATAGGGACCTTACACAATGTACTCAATTATGGCAACAAAGTAATAACACTGACAAAAATTTAATGAGTAGTAGCAAAAGATCGTGCTGTATATATATGCGTACGTCTGATACAGTTTAAACATTTTACCTTCAGGAATGTCTGCTGGATTTGGTTTGCAAATGTCCTTGCCAGACTCCTCATACTCTTCAGTTAAGTTGTTATCTGCACAAGACAATGGAGAGACTTCAGTTGCTATGTCTGCAAAAGACACTGATAATGAATGATAACTATTTTGAAGACTGATATAAGGCCTCATAATGTGCTACTTGGCACAAAGTGGATAGGTGACAGGTAAACAAAATAAGATTTCTCTCCCCTACAGAGTACATGCATTATTGAATGTTGTAGAAAAAGTAAACAATGTTTTGTACATCTTCACTTCATTAATGGAACTCCAAAATATTGGACACCAAAATTTCATGCAGACATGGACTTCTTTACTACTGACAACAGTTGTTCAAAATTATTGTTAATGGTAATGTCATGATCAGGTTATTGCAATAAATTTTGGAGATCAACATGTATCAATGTAGCAAAAATATAAATTACACTGATTTCAAAATGTAGTTTTGATTCAGAATTTGTTGATAATAAACACTGAGACTTGTGTCTAGGTCTCAAGGGAGGGAGCTAATATAACTAAAATTTACAGGTCAAGTTAACTGGTCTGCAAACTACAGCCATCGGTCCTGGGCACTGTGGTGTTTGTGAGAGAGCGTCTACCAACCATTTATACAGTTGAACCCAGTCTCTTTTAAAGACACTGTTTCACATGTGTAGACATCACTTTGTTATAACAGACAGCTTTGGGAACACTATATGGCTTGACTGATAGTGTGTATACTGAATAACTAAATAAATACCTTGAGGAGATGCACGGCCTGAATCTGTAGGTTCACAGATGGAGTTCAGTGGTATCAATTCAGGATTATCTGTACAAAAAGAATGAAAGGTCTTTTGAAAAACTAGTCACATTATCAATTAACTTCAGCACTGACAAGTTTTTTTTTTTTTCAGTACTTATTCAAATTAGTTATTGAAACATTATTATGCACTAAACATCTTTGGCTTAAAATTAAGCTTTGGCTTAAACGTTTTAAACCAAAGGTAACATAAAACAGTTCAACTTTAGTTGTCAAATTGTTTCATTCAGTGATATATTAGTAGATGTACCATGTTCAAATAGGAAGCGTCTATCAGTTTCTATTCATCATCAGTTTATTCTCACCTGCCAGTTTTGTTTTATTGGTCCCTGAAAACCGGCAAAACTGGTTTATGCGTTTTGAGGTTATTAGGGCCAGTGCCAAGATAATGGTGATGATAATCACAACTCCTATAACAACTCTTAAATCTACAGCTCCATGTTCTTCTTGTTCCTTGTCTTTTTTTGGTGATTGGGCTGTATTTTCAGAATCATCATTTTCAGGTAGCACTGCCAATTTTGTCCTCCCTCGAATTGTTGTAGGTGTACTTCCATCAACTGATAAAATTTGTGACCCAGTAAGGTTTCTTCCAGGTTGATGTGGCAAAGTAGTGGCAAATTTGTCATTAACTTGACCATGGGTTTTAACAGACTTAACAATGTCATGTTTCTCAGTTATGGTACTATGATTAGGAGGGACAGCCGGTTCTGTGTCAGTTTGCTTAGTTGTCACTTTTTCAAAGGTTTCTTTACAGCGCTGATTTTGCTCAGTTTTTTCACACTGCCAATTCCTGCTCATTCCAATGTCTATGCATCCTTGACGTCTTTGGGCGTCATTGACACTGTCGCAGCAAAAATAGCATTCCTGGCAGATATCATTGTCATCAAGAAAGTAACCTTGGGGACACTTAGTTCCACATTTGCGATTTTTGTCCGGTGTGCAGTTCTGAATTACATTCTTTAAACCGCATTCATGGCAAGCCTTGCAACTTTCTATGCCATGGCTGTTGGAGTATGACACATTTGCCTGGCATAGTGTACATACTATTTTGGTGTTGTTTGGAACCCTGCCACCACACTGTGGGGTCAATCCTTGACCTTCGGGACACTCAGGACATTTTCTGCACATAGTCTTAGCTCCCGGATCAGTGGGGTCATAGAGTTCAATTTCTGATGTCTGTGAACAACCTGTTAAGGGTTTTCCTACGGCAGATAATATCATCCATGGTAGCACTTGTAGCAGTACAAGAATTTCCTGAAAAGGAAAACAATAGCATAATTAATTATATTTATACAATAAAAAAGTAAATACATTAGTTAATTAAACCAATAAGCCCGGTAACAGATAATACATGTACATCTTCCCCTGGGGCCAGGCAAAGTCAATTGATAAATTTGTAATCAAAATCAATCAATAACAATCAATGAAAATCAATGAAGATTAATAGCAATCGATTGATCAATTGATAGCAATCAATGAAAAGCAGTGAAGAAAAATGTTTTTAGACAGATTGTTATCAATTGCTGATAGTAATCGATAATGTTTGATTCATCAATAATTGGTATCGATTGTTATCGGAAATTATTTTTGCCCTTTAACAAGTTACACTCGTCTGATAAAATGATTAACAAAATTTTTCTGTAATGGTTTCATTGAGTCATTTTATCTTCAAGGCCTGCGTTTCTTTTATAAAATCATTAATCATCAACAAAATAACAAGAACAGAAACAACTAACAGAAACATTTTGGGCTTTACAACTTTCTTAGATAGTTTATGACACCGGAAGAAGCTCAGGCTAGAGTAGCAGTGTAAAACTCTCCAGTCTCATCGTAGCATCGGCATTTAGATGAAGTAGAATAAACAACAGAATCAGTGTTCTAGTGATTTCAATTATTTGTATTTTTT